CTACTTGCTCATCTATGCTATCTGAGTACACCAAGTCAGTGAATCGGATAAAGGCTTAACTGTACACAAAGAAGGTCTACTAAATGTTTAGGTTATTTTCAAAGAAGAATTAGAAAATATACCTTACACTGGTATGATGAAAAAAGACAACCACATTAGCTATTTCGCAATAAATCTATCAACAAAAACAAAGATATAACAATAAAAGTTAAAAAATAAAAATAAAGCCTACTAAACAGTGAATAAATCAAATCAAAAAAATTTAGTTTTTACTGGGTATTCTTGCAAAATCCAAATATGATGAGAGCTTTTCAAGTATCCAGTCGGTAATGATTCAAGTATTACTCTTATTATTACTGCCAACATACCGGCTACTTGAGTTGCACAGACGCACGCACGGACGCACGCATACGAGTAAACATAAGAATATTTGGAAAAAATTATTTGGCAATGTGCCACACAACATAATTTTCATAATAACTCTACCAATACATTAGCCAAATAACTTTATTACAACGGAATATATTATTACATTATTTCATATATTATTTCGAAGTAATAGCCAGTGTCATGAGAAAATGGTATATTCACACCAAGAAGTATGATCTGCCAGATACCTGTGACAATGTCAGTAGTGCATATCAACACCTAATGAACAATACTAATTTATCTGGTTAACAGAAACTCAATACAAAATGGGCACCAAGAATATTACCAACTTGTAGTACAGTGGTACAGTTGGATTCTGTCTAGCAGAAATGCTTTTCCAAACAATATGCCTAAGATATTGTAAATTCTGTGACATGGATAGCATAAATTCTTATTTCAAATGTCCCGTATGTCTAAGACACTCCGGCTAGACTAGTGACTTGTTTACTCGATGATTCACCTTTAACTGACAAACAGGTAGAAAGAAAAAGTAACACAGAACCCAGTACAGAGATGCATGAGCTCAGTTGCCATACTCTACAATAACACACAAAGAAACAGGTGACAGGAAAAGAATGAAAGTAAGGTCGACAAAGGTGTACGAAAAGAGAGAAAACAAATAAATGAAGGTGAGTGAAGTGTTTAGAAATTCGATGATGACAATGAACGTACACACATGTGCAACACTGAGGTCAATTTTGAGTCACATGATTGCCTTCAACTGATGATTTTATCATCTCAAAGATTCTAGCTAGGTAGCCTACACCACCCTACATGTATCAGACCAACAGTCAGACTTTATAGATTACTGCCACGCATACCTTCCTTAAAACTTCATCCTTCTGAAATTAGAACTGAATATTTGACCTCAAAAATGCACACATACGAGCAATGCTATAAAAATAACTAAGATCATAAACCTATAGCCTAATCATATCTTCTACATTCAATAGTTTCGGAGACATGAAATAGGACTAGTTGAACTGCTGCAAAGTATACTCATCCTGTGATACATAGCTCGACATTCAACCAACCCAGGAGATGGTGTAGATTCCCACTTGCCAGACAGACCATTTTTGACCGAACAAACTTTAACACCAATGTACCTATTGCAGTTGATACAATTTCCCAGTAGAGTGAGGTCGTTGATGCATTCTACTATTTAATTTATCATCATTAAACTGGTAGTCGATTCAGACCAGTTTGAACCCAACATTTCACAATTGAAAGCATTCATAAGACCATAAACAATTTATCGCCTTTTTCAACCAGTCGAATGATGGCGTTCATTTCCTTGAAGCCAACCAACTAGCAAAATAATATATAAACTAGAAAAATTACTTCCTCAAAGCCATAAAGGAAAGCAAACTGTGCTGCAATCGGAGCTGTACCACTCAACAACATCACAGCCATGAAAAATAAAAACAAAGACATAGATATTCTATCATAACTCTTTTTAAAGCACAATCTGTAGACAGTGTAAACACTAAATGAACAGTTTTAGGATCATAAGAAAAGTCTTTGAAAGTGGTTGCACATTAGTCGGTCATGTCGCAAAATCATATCTACTTAAGTGACCACAATACGTTTTACGTATGTCTCATTGTTGACTGCGAAGCGTACGGTGAGGGCTGAGGCAACGTTTGTCTAGAAAAAATCAGGATTAGGCAGTTTAAGACAGCGCATTAATCCATGAAGTTAATGACTGTTTCTTTGAGCTATGTGTAAGAATGTATGCTTCTTAACTGATTTCCTCGAGAGGTTAGGAATCCATAGCTGGACACTGTAGCTAACAAGCCTCAGAGTTATCAGTGTAGCAGATGTCTCAACTTTTTAACTACGTCGACAGGATATTATTGTACTCTATAAACGTTTCCAACCTCAGCTCATTCCCTTTTGTTCATTTTGGATATCTTTCCACTTCTATTATTGTTATCCTTCGTTGTGATTTGTGGTTACCTATACGATGACCAGTATCGTTTAATTTGCGTCATTTGTCAATTGTTATCAAATTCCCACCTACTGCATTCTGAAAACTTGATTTTTTAGTATCAGGATGATTTCATTATAGTTCCAACTGACCAGTGGCTTTCGGTAGAAGACATACACAACCACTGACAGCAACAAGTACTATATCAAATGTTCGGTTAAATTTGCATTAGAATATTCATCTTGTTTCATTTCAGCATAGAAAAATGAAGGAATGTTGACTGTAAATTCAAACGCAGCTTTAAATTAAGTCATCATGTTTTGTTACCTCTTTATCTGAGAATCGATTTCAATGGCGTGGATGCATCTACACTTTATTTTCATCCTAATCCTTATAGTGAATTTCAGTATTCTCTCATTCCTCCTTTTATTTCGATAACTTTCCCCCACTTATGACTGCTTTCTTCTTTATTCCCTCATCTTTCACCCTAGTACCTTCTCACTTGATGTGTTGATTTGAGGCATTATAACTAGGACCGCTACATGGAAATGCCAGGACCTATATTGATATAGTATATCTTTATTAGGGAAAGCATTGTTTGAGTAGTATCTACGGCACAATCATATCTCCATACATAACGGCAACAATTTCCTGAATTCACTATGTGTCTTAAGAAATAGGGATTCTATATAGAGATTAAGCCATAGTGCACATCGAACGCTTGATGAATTTCTGCCAGATCTATGGCTTCTACTCTGAAACCACCAGTTTGACAATGTGCAGAAGAAAAAAAGCATATTACTTGACATACTTATTAGACCCAGAGCTCATAGGTGATACGGCTTAGCTACATGAAGAGACTGACAAGATGATGCGTCTTTTCGACACCTGAAGTGATAACTCTACGATGTTTAGGATGCATTCATAATCACGTAAACACAACTTTTTTGCTTCAGAGCTGATCTTTGCTGGCCACTTGTCTAACAATAGGCAATGAAGTGATTAAATGGAGTGGTCATTTCACCCACCTATGAAGTCAGATCAGCCCTGGTGCGTCAGTGATCACCAGAATATCCACGCGGATACACAAGTTATGCTTGGTTTTGTCAACTTATGCTATCTATGGCATCGCCATGATATCGGATTGCTTATTAAAAGTTGAGTTTACTGCGCTGCAGTTCACTCTGTTCTGACAAACGACCAATAAAAGCAGAGGATGTGAGGATGCGTCGGGTTTCGACCACCGCCGCCTTCGTAACATATATATATAGGGAAAGAGAGCTGACAAGTGGAAACAGAATGATTTATACCGTGTACATTTGTCACTGAATGACACGTAAATCTGGATTCTATAGGTGCACTCCTACAAAAGCTTTTAGATGGCGAAGGACAACCAATGGGCAACTGATTATTGAAGTAATGATTCTGTCACATGAATTCGAAACTACAGTGCCTTGAAGATTTGTATGTTTTTTATATGTAAGTATTCGTTTAGACAAATTTCTTCTACCTACGATTGCTTTTATGTAAGCCGCAAATTAGTGAAAATTTCATTTGTCAATGCGATCAGAATTCTTTCTATTATCAAAACACCCCGGTAGTTGAGTAACATTATTAGTTTATAGGCTACATTTGTGACTTCTTCCGATGTAATTCACTGTAATCATTAACAAAAGCAAGTTTCCCATACCAATCTATATCAGCACTCTTCAAAAAAGCATCTATAAGCAACGATTCATCTAAGTGCAGTAAACATCCCTTTTTAAACTTTACCTTAGAAGCATTGAGTATTTCATGTTTGGGGGAAGTAACAGAAGTATTACGGCAATTTCCATTTGTATTAGGATGATGATGTGGAGTGTTTTATCTCAGATAGAGTGATCAAACGCGGTGATGGCGTAACACTAGTGTTTCTTCCGAAAACGTTTCTTGGAAAGTCCTTCCTTAACGTTAGATGGTTTGGATCGGAGGTTCCTATTAATGAGTTCACTGTTTAGACCCATTGATTGTGTATCTATGAACAATTTGGAATGGCTAGGTTCTTGTTAAGTAGAAATTTTAGCAGCACTCAACTAACTTATAGTACACGAAAGAGCTGAATGGTTTCCTACAAGGAACCTAGAAGAGAGTTTTCGTTCTTGTGGAACTTTGGTGGGACACCAAGCTTTATGCCAATCACTTTTTATTTCAATAACTGACTGAATCGTTTCTCCTTCAGAATGGCATTTCAATAATGAGTAGATTTACAAAGAGAATACAATCCACGCAATGTAGCGAAACCGAAATATTAATATCAGATGACGTAATATATGCGCCAACTGAGGCATTCGAGATGAATGATAGAGTTTTTGAAGTTCGGATTTCAATTCTTAAGTACATGAAGTTTAAAAGTGATTTCTAGTCATAGTAAAAAGATCAATCTTTAAATCACCAGTACAACTCACTTTGTGAAGCCAAGTCGCTCATTTTTCTACACACTCAAAGAAATTTATTTATCCTACTTTATAAATTCTCTTCAAAAAAAACGTTTGGCAAATTATTCTACGATACTTTATCGTTAACAGTATACACAAGAATAATTATTTCTAACGATCACAACATAATAACTTATGGTATTGTCATAGAGATCAGTAAGGCTTACTTCACAAATATGTTGATCAAGCTCTTCTGCTGAGACTCCACGCAATGCGACTGGATTATACAACCGTGTTAGTCCTTCCACTTTAGTAGGCGGCATAACTCGAGACCAACGCAAATAATCGCATAATGGCTTAGGTTTCCAACCACTCTGATAATTCTGATTCATAACACAACCATTAACACTTTTCTTTTGGTCTGAATCAGTAAAAGAATGATTACTATTGGTGAATGCAGTCCATAGTTGAGAAACTGATTTCATTTCACGAGGGAAATTCGAAGAGTCATCACCCCATGGATAGATAAGAGCAAGATTTGATCTTAACTGAAGCGATTTAAATGTTGACAATTCTAGGGAATTCAAATTAAATGTATAACCTTTCTCATCATTATTTACAATTGATGTTGTTCTTGTTAAATTGAAAATATTTCTGGAAATTTCTTCTTGTGCTAAAAATGAAGAAAAAAGTTAAAACAAAATTAAATTGAATGCATAAGACTTAGAAAAAGTTATTTTCAATATTAAATTCAATCGAAAATAAGATGAAATGGCTATAAAAAGCAGCTAACGAAATTGTGTAAAGCAGCACTGGAAGACTAGAGAGACGATTGCAGAGAAGACAAAATTTTCTTTTCGATGAAATCATTTACTAAGTTGTGAATAACCATTCCAGAATTATTTCCGTCCGGTTTCAAAATATACTGAATAAAGAAAGGAAGTTACGCGATATAAATGAGAGTTTAGAGTCGGGAAATAAAAAAGGGATTAAGGAAATAGGTATGATTACGTAGTACAGGATTTATCTAGGACAATCAAAACTTGACAAAGGAAATGATTGAACATACTTTCAGGATAAACAGCGCTGGTTTGAACTTCTGAATGGTTAGCGCTTCAAATACACCCCAATGCCTTGATCTCACTCCCTATGATTGTCTTGATCGAAAGAGTTCTCGAAAAGAGCTGAGTAACCTGAACTCACAAGGTGTTCTGTTATTGAGCTGAAGATGCATTTCCATTTTCCCTTTGCTAGCCAGGATGGATCGTGTTCTCGAGTACGTTTTACAAGCGGATGCATGCTGCAGCCAATGTACTAAGCTTCACAGGAGTAAGTAAACTGATTTATACACACTAATGTGATCAAGGCATCAGCTTGTCTTTCACATACTGCCTAGTCATCATCTATCCAGTCGCACAATATTAGCTGAAGCGAGTTGATACAGGATAAAGGTTAAAGGTCCCCGGACTAAAACATGACATCATTCCATGAAGTCACCCACTGTCATCTCCGACCGTGTAGGGAAATGTAGACCACCCGGTCGAGTTCCGCGTGACAACAGAAACCGACAGCTGGGCATTCTTGGTGATATGGCTCAGAATCGATCTCAGTGTCACAGATGAATCTTCACATTGTGTTCATTTTAATCTTCAAACTGCATTTCCCTACTGATTTCATTCTTCTGTCTCTCTTTCGATGCTTTCATACTACTTAAGAACAGTTTGCTCCTCGTTTGTTCATCTTTCGTCTTGATGCATTCTCACTTGGTGTCCTGATGTGGGAAGTGGCAAATTCGACTGTTATGCAATAATACCAGGTACCACACTGATATTATCTCTAATATCTTTTTGACATCAATCAAGCAATTAAAAAGCGATTATAGTTATTATAACGGTGCATAACACCCATCTGGATGATATTTCTCCCGTACTGTGTATAAACACGATATCGTCTTACCATACAATGATACAGAGACTAGAAAAACCGCACTTAATCACTAGGGGGAAAGTATATACAGTCACAGTGTGCGACTTACACCATCTTAATGTACTATTCATCATTCACTAGACTACCATATGCTGACAAGATTCTGGTAGTGAAACATTTGCAAAAGCGTGTCAAAAGAGAACACTAGGTTATGAGGTTGGGCACAGGTGTGGGATAGACATATGAAGGCTAGCAAGAAACTCGAAAGATAAGATTAATATTCGTAAAACGAATGCAACGGTGACATTTACGACAGCAACGATCTCTATATCTGTAAAGTGCTACATGTACGATGCTTCCACTTCATAAAGCTGAAAACGTTCAGTCACTACTATATCTTTGTTGCTGTTTACGTTAAATTGCAACATCATGTTTATAGTATTCAAGTAAAATAGCATGCATCCAATAGTGGTGCAAACCGACATTCAATTGCATAAGTTATTTTAAAAGGAACTCTTTGTATTTAATGTCATACGTATGCTATTCGTGTTTCGCATATTCAGCATTATCTTCTGTTACCAGTTTTCGCAAGAAAAAGTAAAGACAACGAATCTGACAAACAGGATTGAGGAAGGTTGAGTTTATTAAACACTTACATGTGAATCGCAACTCCATGTGGGATATGATGTAAGTGCCAACTTTAGTCATTTGTGGTGCCAGAAAGATATCCGACTGCCTATCGAACGACAAGTATACTGAGCCGCTGTCCTTTTTGTCCTCTTATACGTCTGTGAGACATAGCCATTAAAGTAGAAGACATAAACCGATTACAAGGTTTTCATCACATACGTCTTCATAGCATTGCTTCCGTTCGGTGGAATCACCGTGTGAGAAGTGTTGAATTCAGGTAAAGAATACTAGGCAAGACAGACAAGTCGATTGATGACGTTATGAACCTTAGTGAACAAAGATGGCTTAGACATGCATTCCACATGCCGAACGACCGCCAACATCGACGTACCATACTAGGCGACGTTGGATTAGGTTGGAAAATAGTTCAAGATGACCACATCAAGACATGACACCACTCCATGAAGTCTCCAACTGTTGGTCTGAGTCGTCTTGATAGATGTAGACTGCCTGGTTAGTCCTCAAGACGGAGAAAATCAGTGCTTGACGACTCTTCGTCACATGGATAGAAATCGGTCACAATGACACGGATGTATTCACTCCTTTACATCTTCTAAAGCTTGAATATTTTCACTAACCGTCATCTTCAGATTGTTTATTCTCTCACACAACTTTTTCTACTTTCATACCACTCTTTTTTCCCACCTACCTGTTCTTTGTGTACTACTGTGAAGTGTGGCAACTCCAGCTGATGCATTTGTGTTCGAGGTTCTACTTTGATTTTGTCATTTGGTCTTGACCACTGCTTATTTCTAGTATTCTACCTGTTCTTCATTATGCCATATTATTTTGCTTGTCAAATTTCTTAGCATATACTTACTATCAAATTACTATTACTTTATAAATTCAGTAATAAATTAAAAGCTGGCCATTGAAAATTATTTCAAGCGACATTCATTCCAGTTACGTATTTAGTCACTAAATCTTCACTAGTCAGTATTATCAAGTTAATTTTCGCTGGAGAATCATCAAATTACTCGGAGATTACCACGAAAATTCGGTTTATGAGTAAAACTAGTAGCTAATAATTAAAAATACTTCAAGATATACAAGTGTTTAAACGTGCTATGAAGAATCCATTTTTACAATCCAAAAGGTTACAGTTTTTGGTAACTCGATTTAACATATAAAAATAAGTAATAAAACTTTTTATTAGATAGTCAATCAGCTTTGATTAATTAAATTAGTTTTATTTGTGCAACTGATAGTAAAACGTTTATTTAAACCTGTATATAAATCTTAAGAGTTTTGAAGTTTAAAACACCACTCTACTCAAACTGGTTTCATCGACACAACAGTGACATACACTATGCAGTCTAGAAAAAAAAATGGTTGACATAACGCACAACTGCTGTTAATTCGAGGTAAACTTGATGATTAATAGCCCTTTCCTCGAAAAAGATTGATTTTGATATCAAACTCTTTTCATTAGTCAAATTGAAATGCTATACGTGTAATATTATATGATTAAAAAATTACCTTGAGACAGAGTTGATGTAGTAGTATGATATTCACTCTGAACCATTCTATCATTAGAATATAATTGATTTTTCTTCGCTTTGGATTTATCTGTATTGTTTGAGTTATTTACAAGTGATTGATCATTTGAAATTGTGATATGCTGTTGATCCAATTTTGAGCATTGTAAATTATCATCAGGGTTATTAGATTGATGACGATGTTGATCATGACTAGTGCAACCATTAATAGGAGTATTTGCAACAACATTCAGTGTATGTTCACTTTCACTCATCGGTGGAACTGAAGATGTTGAAGCGTCTGAATTAGAAATAGCTGAATCAAATGACTGAGGCTTTTCATTTTCTTCTGTTGCAATATTCAATAATTTTTCATTGAAATGTGATAATTGAGGTGCTTCATCACTATTTTTCGATGGAAAGGAAGTAATATTTGTGGAATCTACCTTTCCATTAACATGCAACTTTGACTTGTCATCTTTTACATCAGTAGAAGTCTAAAAGAAAACAACGATGTTAACTGAAAACTGTTCATGGTGACAGATGACTTCAAGGAAGGAAAATAGCCCCCAACAAAATCCAAGCATATAAATGTAGTTGGCAAGCCTCACTTCAACTGAACAAAAACAGTCAAGTTACCTATTCTTTCTTAAAGTAACAGATCTGTTTTCATAGAAAAAAGTGTTTTTCACCCAATATGAATGAGCAAAGTTGTTAACAACGACAGTAGAGTTAATAGGGGGGAATAAAGTCAAGCAATATGAATTCTGGTTGTTGAAAATACCAAAATGATGACAGAATTCTGTTTTGAAGTTACTGGCCAAAATAATTCAAGAGAAAAGGGGTAGGATACCTAATTCCTTTGTTCATATCCTCCAACTTATTTGCTTCAATACTGTTCTATTTCAGATGACTGTTATATTATGGCAACAAATTGTAGCAAACGACACAGATGTACTTTCGAGCTGGTTTCGTATCACAACAAACAAATAGACAGCCCTATAATCATTAATCAGAAATAATAACTGAGAACACCCATCAATATTGTTTACTAAAAGGCAACTCACATCAATCAACTCATATATTTAGCACTATTTGGTCAATACGGGACATTTACCTTCGAATACCTTATGCGTTGTTAATTACGAAATCCAACCAAGCCTTCCCAGACGGTTACGTCTCCACTTATTATACATTGTAGAAGCCTTAGCAATTCATACTTTGAAGCCAAAGCTATAAATACAAAAACTATTCGTTAAATCTCTTTCGTCATCATAGTCCTAACGCGGCTAAATTAATAAGGCATCTAAAAATCCTGAACATTGATAAAAACTCACAGGCCGAGCTTCTTAGATGTTTCCAGTTTTGTTTTAAATTTAATTCCTTTCATATTATTATTATTACTGTCAGTATTATTATTAATTAAAGTTTTCGTTTCGCCACATTTCTTGATAAACACTCATATCACATGAACTTGATTTACAAATATCTTATAAGAATACTGTAATTTAGGGCTACAATATTCTGTAAAATAAATGAATAAATAATACTGGCATCATACATACCTTCTATATGTCCTCAGTTATTTCTACATATTTTCAAGGTAGTATACATCACGGACTGGCATTAATTAAGAACCATCGAAAACCTGAGAGCACTGGACAACCCTTTCGTCCTAGGATGGGACTCCTCAGCCATGCGTCGGATCCACGACAGTTAGATCACGAGAAGAGCATGCTATCATTTGGTTACCGGGTCGTAAATCAACGGTTCACATTTTCCTACTACTGTCTGTATATTTTTTGCGAATTTCCTACTCTAGTGACAAACTGTTTCAATTTAGTAATAAACACAAATCTAGTCAAAAATAAACACATACAGTGACTCAAGAGTGAAAAATTTTAACATTTATACAATGGCACACCTCTTGAAAATACATTTATTGAAAAGGATTTCATTCAATGAATTTCTTTTTCCATGATATAATGGGTATATTCAATGCAGATAATTGGTTGTCTAGTGATCCATTTTACGATTGGTTAACTGTAATTCATTATTATTATGTGTATGAACTATGATTAAGACGTGACAAAATAATAATCGCAAATAATGGACACCAGAAAATGAAACATCGGAATTTGTTTATTTCAAACACGCAGAGACTGACACAACTACAGCCTATTTATAGTTTTTATTTTGATAATATTTCGAGCAAAATTACTGCCCATGATCATACCAACAGCTTTCACCACACATTTACTTACAATATACTAATGGATTGTACAATGCACAAACTTGGTACAGATATTGCTTTATATTACTTCCAGATTTTTGTATCCCTTAACAATGCGTGTAGTCTCGTATGGTTACCACTTACTTCGAGAAGCATAATTAGTTTGATCCCATTTTCAGCCCCTAAATTGAAACTTACAAAGTATGGCTTTACTGTCATTACTGTTATTATTATTATTGACTGATCTCAAAAATGATTTTGGCAACCAAGTTAATTTTTTGACCCAGGTAGTATTTTTCTAGCAGTACAGATTACCTTGGTGCCCAAAATCACATGTAACGAATGTTTTTCCGCTTCGTCAGACTAAATAATGCCGATGAACATAGCCAACTGTGAATCTGAAGCAGGAGTCATAATCTCAATAATCTTTTAAAAAGAACAACCAGTAAAACTGTAAGCAAATTACCTTAGTGATGACTTTTGCGTCCTCAGATGGACTGACGGATTCCATACTAGATATACGTTGGTGCCAAAATGGATGCCTGATAAGATCATTTTCATTTATTCTCTTCGTAACAGATTTCGTCAACAGTGAACATAAAAGGGATCGGAAGAGCGCAGATGGTGGAATGCTAACATCAGGACTTGAAAAATCTGGTTCCTGATTTAGGATCTTCCGATCCAGCTGAAACAATGTGAAACATGATCATAAGAAACTTTTGCAATTTAAAGCAGTCACTTCTGACGGCAATTCAACAAAAAAGTACGATCATAAAATGACCACCAGTGAAAAAACTTAAGATAAACAGGCCTAATACTACAGGTGAACACTGATTTGCGGACTCACAATTGATTTCAAGAAACTGACCTACAACGACGCACACGCGCCCAAAAATTCAACAATCCCGATAACATATTCATATCAAGCAACAGCAGCAGGAGATACAGAGATATATAAACAGATAAAATCAAAGCACAACCTCACATCCAGATGCATCGGATCAAGTTGCCACACTTCATAGCAGGATGCAAAGAACAAGGAGATACAAAAGACTAATATCCAAGTAAATAACACTGCACGACAGGAGATGGAACTCAAAGCTAAAGGATAGAAAAAACATTCAAGCTTCAAAAGATATCAGAGAGCGAATATATCTGCACTATTATGACCGACTTCAATAGTGTCACCAAGGGTCTCCAAAATTGATTCCTATGACTTCGAAGACCACAACCAGACAATCTACACCTGCCTATATGACTCAAACCAACAGTCAGAGGCTTCACGCACTGGTCCCACATCTTAGCCTGGTCAGTCTGAGCCTTCTCCCGATCTAATCCAACTTTCCCAAGCATTGGCATATGCAACACATGTCCAAATCACCTCAGTCACTGAAAGTTTACAGCCTGACTCACCTTCATTGCCTAGTTCCCTTCACCTGTCCTCAATATTGCTCACACGGTGATTCCACCACCCACAAGCAATGCTAAGAAGACACCTGTGGTCAAAACCCTGTAACCACATAACATCTTACACTTTCAACGGTCATGTTTCAGCCTTATAACAAGACAGGACGAACTGCAGCTCACTAAACCCAACCTTTAATAGGTGGTCACATATCTCACCAATTGGCGTCAGAGGTGAAACAAGATGGCAAATACCGAACGGGCCTTCGCTATCAGAACTGAGACTTCTTCAGCAACCAGTCCGTTCGAGCTGAGGTCGACACATTCCACCTCTTCACTTTCTATCCTTAAACTGGAAGCAGTTGCAGACCAGTGCTGAAGCATCACCTTACACTTGTCAGGCGCGAAACGCAAGCCAAACATACTCAAATTCCTGCTCAACGCATCCTGAAGACCCTGCATTTTGTCAGCATCTTCACGTAGCTGGACAATATTGTCTGCATACTCCGACTCAACGAGACGACCTTCCGGAAGTAGGTTAATCCCTGGGAAGTCAGACGTACATAAAAGTATGTCCACTAATACATCTATAAATAAACTAAACAGGAACCGCGATAGTGGATATCACTGGTGGACATCCTGATTCCCGTCAATCCACATGACGACTCTCCATAACCTCTTACACGGCTGCGTGAATTCGAGTAGAGAGCTCTGATTAGCATTGCAAACTTGCTCGATACTCCCTTCACAGTCAGATACTGCTACAACACCTAACGGTTGACAGGGTTGAATGCCACCCACAGGTCAACATATATATGGCAGGTATCGACCACCAGATATGTGTGTTTCGGAACCTGTAGAAGAGTGGAAATCTGATCGACATAGCCTCGTTCAGATCTGAAACCTGCCTGGTTTTCTCGAGTTTGCTGTTTTCGAGCCCAAGTTAGGCGTCGGAAAATCATGAACCCTATGATCTTGGATATGATATTAGTCAAATTAATTCCCCTATGGTTGTCACAAGAAGAATTCTCTGACTTCTTATGGACTGGAGTGACCGGTGAAGTGGACCAGTTTGATGGAACTACCTCTGATTCCTATACACTACCCAGCATCTCCATTACTCTGATCAGTAACTTCCTACCTCCATCCTTAAAATCTCCGGGTAGTAAACCGTTGAATACTGCTGTGTCGCATGGTTATGTGTTCAAATCCTTCTTTTCAGCTTCGGCAAGATTTTGACGATTAGGAGGTTATATCAGTGAAGTATGAGGTATAATATCAGGATATTATGTTGCTTAAAAGGGAAAGCTATTTCTTCGACCCTATTATGTTACTTTGTTAATGTATTCATTACCTTTTCATGGATGTCTTCATAGAGTAAGACCTTTCTTGGAAGTTATTGAGCTTGAAATCGTTGATAGATCAATGTATTATTTGGCAGCACATGTTTTCTTACGATAGCAGGTAATAGAATTGCGTATTACTGTTTAATTTTACGACCAGTATAGCAACCTATATACCCTACTTTTTGTTATTGTGTGTTCACTTCACTTCATGATAACTTATAAAGGTCCAGGTTACCTGTATAATGAGTGTTAATTTTTTTCTTGATGATTTGTCTATGCATTTTACTTGTTTGATGTTGTTGCACACGGAGAAAAACCGCTATGAGCAGTCACTAGTTTTAATATTTTTGAGCGATTTCAGCTAACAATTTTCAAATGATTGTCAATAGTAAACTTGGTAGACTTGGCAGTTTGCAAGTTTTTGTAAGTAGTCATTTGCTACATGGTTTTCATTGAGTGCTGATATAGCCCATGAGGTGAATTATTGAACGGATTTTTAATTAGAACCGCATATTTGTTTTCATTAGAAAATGTGTTGCATGATTGGGAACGGTATATTCTATTATTACATGAACACGCTTGGTTGATACTTCTGCAGTATGAGTAAACTTATTAAGGAAATTGAAGCGAAAAGATCTGTGGTTAGCGAAACGATATAGGATAAGGACGTGTCGGCGATTCTTCTGCAAGGGTGACCACTGTAATGACGGGTGGAACACTTAGAGGAACAGTTCAGCTTGTCTCCAGCTACTATTTAGTTACTCGCTATCCAGTCCGAGCTTGAATGAAATATCGAGACTGGAACTCTAACGTTTTCAGAAGTTCAAAAAAGGTCAGACGGACTAATTTCATAGGTATGTAAGTGTGGTGGTCAAAGGTTTTCAGCCAAGTTAACTGAACTGTTGGCCAGTGAGTGGAAGTGAGATATGATCCCTCCTGACTGTTTTAAATCACTGGTTTGCATAGTATTTAAGAAGGGTGAGAAATCTTTCTGAGATGACCACAGGAAAATTAGCCTGAAAAACATAGTGTCTACGATTTTGTATTATATGTTTATTGAATGTCTGAGTGCAGCTGGACAACAGCGAACACAAGGAAACCAGGCAGGATTTGACCTGGTTGTGGGTATATCCACCAGATATTCACCATTAACCAGGTTCTGGGACACAAGCACACTTACGGATGCCCGACACTAGCTGTCTTTCTCAGCCAGAAGGTGGCATTTGACTCCATTAATTGAAAGGTATTACTTCAGTGTCAATTACTAAAAGGGGTACAGAATAAGTACAACGCTGTTAAAGGCTCTTTACCCGAACTCCTGTGGGAGTGTTTGAGTCTGTGATGAGTTGTCAGATGAGCTGTGTACATCGAGCGATGTCCATCATGGGTGTTTACTTTCTCTATTCTTGTTCACCTTTGTCACAGACATTCTTGTGGAAGTTTGTTTCTCATCATCTGACTTCACAGGGGTTGATCGTGTCACGTGAGATTACTTGGTAGATTTAGAATACACAGGTGACTTGGTTCTGTCAGGGGAAGACGCTAACAAGACGCAGAGTCTTTTGAATATCTTGAGTGGCAGCTTAAGAATGTATGGGGTGCGTTTCTCTCCACCCAAGTGCAAATTATTGCTCCAGGAATAGTCTTCAGCTGTGCCCTGGCTAAAAGCATAGGGAGAAGTGGTTGACTGCGTTGAGCGTTTCATTTACCTGAGAAGCCAGATCAAGCTTAGTGGGTCAGTGGCCGAAGATATCTCTGAATGGATACGAAATACTCTGTTGGCTTTTGCTAACTTACGCCATCTATGACATCGCCGTGATATCCAATTGATTATTAAGGGTCAAGTGTACTGTGCTACAGGTCGATCTATCCTACTGTGTTGCTGTGGAGTATGGCCATTAAAGATAGAGGACATGAGAAGGCGTTGCCTTCGTAGCATGGTTCTTGTGTGGTGGTGTCTCCTAGTGAGTAACGCAGAAGTCAAGTGTAGAGTTTTAGAGAGGACAGGAAGGTCGGTTGATGCGGTCGTCAACCTTTATCGAATGAGATAGTTAGGGCATCGGTTACGCATGTCTAGTCACCGTCTGCCTAGTCACATAGTGTTAACTGAAGTAGGTTCAGGCTGCAAAACCGTTTGAGGTAGCCAAACCAAAACATGGTATTACTATATGAATTCCTTGGCTTTTGTTCTGAGCCATGTGGGGCGATGCAAACTAGCCAGTTGGGGTCAACATGATCACAGAAACCGGTGGTTCGAGACTTCGTGATATGGCTCAGAATCGATGTCAGTAGTGCAGACTTATCCACGCTTTATCTTCATCCTAATCGCTGTACTGAACTTATCATTTTCTCATTCCTCCTTCTTGTACCTTACTACTTTCTGTTGTTTCTGACCATTTTTTTCGCTTTCATTTTTCAGCTTATTTATTCGTTGTTTGGTATGCTGATATGATGTGAAGCAAATCTGATCTTTATGCAGTAATGCCTGGCTGGTGCCACGTTTATATTGATGATATTGCGGGCAACCAGGAAGTGCCAACCACTCATACGCTTCTGGTAGTAAGCAGAACCCAGTCAGTCATAACTTACCTTCCTTACCTTTATTCCATCTCTTACCTTCACTTCCTTATACGAATATTAAGCCTTTTACAACTTCCTTAATCTTTCACTCTGTGTCCACTGTCGACAATTCAAGTCACGGAAACACCATTCCCAGTCTCCTACAACCTAGCCATCGGTTTCACATTGAGTCCTTCAACGTCCTAACCCTATGTCAAAATGTATAACGGACCTTGCTCACCAAAGCTCTGTAATCTCAAGTCATGTATGTTTTCTGTGTTTCTGAGACACGTATACAGGACCCAAGTATGGCTATTAACTTGATCTCACCTAGCCAATATGGTGATTCTTCAGAATTTACATTGAGTGTCCTAAGATTCACTAATGGACTCGCTGGTGGAGGCGTAGTATTGACCTGTAGGGCAGAAAGCGCACTTCTCGGGTGAATACCAGCCAACAGCTGCTTGTGTACTGTCCAACTGAATAGATCTGTGAGGAGTAGGAAGGACCATGGGACTGATTGATACTTATTCGAAATCCTGGAGGGGACCGGTGAAAAGACTACCGCTCTTCCTGGAGTACTCTTTTGGACTGAGATCACGCGTTAGTGTGTCTACGCTTTACTTGTTGGAGAAAAACGGGTGGCAGTTAGGTGTATCCTCACTGAATTGAAGGGTGGCAACATGAAGTAAGTATTTCGCGGCGGGGGGGGGGGGTACAGCTAAGTATTTATCTGAAAATGACATGAATCCCCATCCTGAGGGAAACTGCTTCCGAGATAGCAGTGAAGACAGTTGGGAACCTACATCCAGAGGTTTACAAACGTCAATGAATTTCTGTGACATCATGCAAGCTGACTGATGCATGAAGACTCATTCCAACTACCTCTGATGACACTGAGGAGCAAAAGCAACTTGAACGTAGGTTGATCAAGAGTCTTCTCAATGATCGCGAGGAGTGGTGGGTGGTGAAGGCGAGGGAAATGGAGAAGGCATCAGTATTGGGTAATACTGGACAACTATTTAGACCTATTAAAGATACTGACAGGAACTTGATGGTGAGTGAGAACATCACCGAGAACGATGAGATGCTGATAACCCCTTAAAACAGGCGGCTAGGATATTGGGCGTAATCCTTTGAAGACCAGTTCAACTGGCCCACAGCAAAGCCTCAGTTACGCAACATCTAACCTGAACTTGAATGGAACGTGGATGTCGGTCCTTCAACTCTTATTGCTGTTAGGAAAGCTGTGTCGAAACTGATACGATGCAACGCAGTAGAATTCAACGGTTTACTACCCGGAGATTTTAAGGATGGAGGTAGGAAGTTACTGATCAGAGTAATGGAGATGCTGGGTAGTGTATAGGAATCAGAGGTAGTTCCATCAAACTGGTCCACTTCACCGGTCACTCCAGTCCATAAGAAGTCAGAGAATTCTTCTTGTGACAACCATAGGGGAATTAATTTGACTAATATCATATCCAAGATCATAGGGTTCATGATTTTCCGACGCCTAACTTGGGCTCGAAAACAGCAAACTCGAGAAAACCAGGCAGGTTTCAGATCTGAACGAGGCTATGTCGATCAGATTTCCACTCTTCTACAGGTTCCGAGACACACATATCTGGTGGTCGATACCTGCCATATATATGTTGACCTGTGGGTGGCATTCAACCCTGTCAACCGTTAGGTGTTGTAGCAGTATCTGATTGTGAAGGGAGTATCGAGCAAGTTTGCAATGCTAATCAGAGCTCTCTACTCGAATTCACGCAGCCGTGTAAGAGGTTATGGAGAGTCGTCATGTGGATTGACGGGAATCAGGGATGTCCACCAGTGATATCCACTATCGCGGTTCCTGTTTAGTTTATTTATAGATGTATTAGTGGACATACTTTTATGTACGTCTGACTTCCCAGGGATTAACCTACTTCCGGAAGGTCGTCTCGTTGAGTCGGAGTATGCAGACAATATTGTCCAGCTACGTGAAGATGCTGACAAAATGCAGGGTCTTCAGGATGCGTTGAGCAGGAATTTGAGTATGTTTGGCTTGCGTTTCGCGCCTGACAAGTGTAAGGTGATGCTTCAGCACTGGTCTGCAACTGCTTCCAGTTTAAGGATAGAAAGTGAAGAGGTGGAATGTGTCGACCTCAGCTCGAACGGACTGGTTGCTGAAGAAGTCTCAGTTCTGATAGCGAAGGCCCGTTCGGTATTTGCCATCTTGTTTCACCTCTGACGCCAATTGGTGAGATATGTGACCACCTATTAAAGGTTGGGTTTAGTGAGCTGCAGTTCGTCCTGTCTTGTTATAAGGCTGAAACATGACCGTTGAAAGTGTAAGATGTTATGTGGTTACAGGGTTTTGACCACAGGTGTCTTCTTAGCATTGCTTGTGGGTGGTGGAATCACCGTGTGAGCAATATTGAGGACAGGTGAAGGGAACTAGGCAATGAAGGTGAGTCAGGCTGTAAACTTTCAGTGACTGAGGTGATTTGGACATGTGTTGCATATGCCAATGCTTGGGAAAGTTGGATTAGATCGGGAGAAGGCTCAGACTGACCAGGCTAAGATGTGGGACCAGTGCGTGAAGCCTCTGACTGTTGGTTTGAGTCATATAGGCAGGTGTAGATTGTCTGGTTGTGGTCTTCGAAGTCATAGGAATCAATTTTGGAGACCCTTGGTGACACTATTGAAGTCGGTCATAATAGTGCAGATATATTCGCTCTCTGATATCTTTTGAAGCTTGAATGTTTTTTCTATCCTTTAGCTTTGAGTTCCATCTCCTGTCGTGCAGTGTTATTTACTTGGATATTAGTCTTTTGTATCTCCTTGTTCTTTGCATCCTGCTATGAAGTGTGGCAACTTGATCCGATGCATCTGGATGTGAGGTTGTGCTTTGATTTTATCTGTCTATGTATTTGACATGCGAATATTGTTTGAGAGGGCAATAGTTTTATTGTATACTGGTGACATAAAGGAGAATGTTTGTGTTGTCCTTTGGTGCTATAGATTTTTGTTTTAAGCCCTATTTTGCATAGTTTTTAATATTTACACGCTTGGTGGCGTTTTTGACCTGATGAGTGATCCTTTGTCTGATCACTGCAATTAATCAGTCAGATTTTCGCAATAAAGGCATTTGAAAGCGTTCTGACAATTTACTGTAAAAAGAGCACCCATCTGAATTGAAATTTACATGCGCTTAGTTCGAAACAATAGTGCAATTAAGCTACATGTACGACGTAAAATATATTTCTTCGAATCTGCTGGACGTCTTCATAAGCACAAATCCCTTTTTAGTATGGCATTTTAAAATGTATTCGCTTAGTTTACGCAGACAGGGTGTTTTTGGGTCTGATAACATTTTAGTCAATCACATTTCTTCACTAAGTAACCAGTTTAAATCTAAATTAATAGTCTTACGTAGACTTATCTATAATGACGTTGTGAAACTACAAAGCATATATTACATTGGCTCCTCTGAGTTGTGAAACATACTTAAAATAATATCCAATGCCTGTGGAACGTTGGAAACATGAAACGTTTGGAGTGTTTGTGCCAAAGTAAAAATTAAATTACTGGTCGAGTATATACTCCCGTATCCCAAGAACTAAACCACGCTTTGAAACATCTGTGCACTAAAACTACACAACAATTGATGCTTTAGAAAGTTTTACACACAAGGATTTAAAGCTATCTCTTCGTGAAAACCGGCGTGTAGTTTTAGTTACATGTTGGATTTATAGATAAATAGTACGAACCGTGTGAAAATATTATCTCTTATTCTCTATGTTCATTATTCGTTTAGCCCTACTTGGGCAAATAAAAACTAATCTTGAAGCGTCATATGCATATTTGCAAGACGATATTTTCTATCCGGAGATTGTCAACATGTGTCCAAACTCGAAGAAATTCTTCCTGGGAAATAGTGAGGGCAAACTTTTGGGAAATGTTGATACAAAACATTGGGAAAAGAGGTACAGAACAAGTGTGCATATTTTGCAGTTGGGAACTGACTTCCTGGGTCCTAGCAACAAATCCTGAATCCGTCTGAGTTTGGCAGCACCCTTTAAAATTATACAAACAGATTCCTTTCAGTCTATTGCAAAAGAGCAATTCCTATATTAACGAAGCCATAAACGATGTGACCTTACACGAATCAAAAGTTATGGAACAACTTTATTTCGCGTGAATCTACGGAAAAAGGTATCACAACCAAACAGAAAATATGGTGAAGCGAGATAGCGGAATCAAACACCTACAAAGATCAATCAGCCTCAGATGCAAAACTGGCTGTGAAAATAGATGCTAATTATAGTAGAGAAAAAAAACAAGCTTCAGGTAAATATTTAAGGATATTCCTGAGTTAAAGTACCATTAAACAAATAGTTGCTTTTTTATTCAGTCATAATTGGATTATACGTTCAGCTAAAGTGCTAGAAAGAAACAGAAATCACTTCAAGGACTTATAACTCGACACAATATACTGGTAGTGAGGCCAACAGAGTCAATCTCAACTTTCCAAAAACAATGTTAACATCCTAAGTGTAACTACGAGCACTAACCTCCTCCTGTGATGAACCGGTGAACGGAGGTCGTCCAAAGAACATATTATAGAACAGGCATCCAAGCCCCCAGTAGTCTGATAATTTCGAGTTGGAATCCTGAGATATGGTCTCAGGTGAATCATACCCCGAATGAACGTTTAGGTCACGGAGAATGTCACCCTGACTGTAGTCCTCTTCACAAAATCGAATCAGCAGGTCATCCAAAATTTCATCTTCTGCATGTGCCAAAGAAAAGTCAAACAACTTGACTGTCCCACTGCCATCTAGTAGGAACTGAAAACTCATGAACAATCCTGATTCGACTTACACGAGAAGGCAGTAGCCGGTTAAATACAACACCTCTTGAGTGAACATGCCGCAAACCACGAATAATATCTGCCCCAAATTTTCTGATTACATTTTCACTAAGAAGTTGATCCTCCCTAATTACTTGCTCGAGGCTACCACCTGTACACAACTCCATAACAAGCCAAAGGTGATTGCTGGTTTCATACCATTCATAGAACTGAAGAACGTTTTTGTGCTTGAGCTCATGAGATATTCTCACATGATTAGATATCAACGGTCTCCTATGCTTTTCAGCGCAAGCAACGGCTAGATATTTGATAGTCCCCTTACGCCTAGCCTTGTAAATAACTTGTTCAGCAGTCTTTTCAATTTCATCATATAATACAAAATTTTCCATTTCTCCTGACTTGTAATTCAGTCACATACAACATCCAAAATCCACAGTGAGACATAAGCGAAAAGTGTGTGCATGGTTAAAAACAGCGCCGTTGGGAATGCAAACAACCTTAAAGCTGCCGCGCACCTTAAAAAATCTCATTTTAAAGCAAACCAACAAACTAAAAAATCAAGCTTTTTTCTTTAAAAAGGTTTCTTGATGCTAGATAGGAAGATAAATGATTAAAAGCAGTCTATCGCCATACTCTGCAAATAGTGGAAGTCGATGAACAGTCCTTGCTGGACTTTGTCATTACCGAAACGTCGGGTTCATTCGCAGTTACTCACCTTGACAATGAAGCAGATTTCATCGACATAATAACCTGGTCAGACCGTGAGTATGTACTGAACACCGGTAGCACTTAGTCTGGAAACTAGTTGATAAGTACTGATATAGGTGTATGTCTTTTCGGATGACGAGGCACAAAATGTAAACTTGATTTTCACTTCCGGTTGCAGTTGTCTATTGTTTAATTGCTACAGGTGAGTCATCCACAAGCGAGTGACTTCCGCCAAACAGTTTTCAGATTTGGTGGAGAGCTTCTTCTAGTTTACCATTTTGTACCAGGACTTCTAGTATTTTGGACATTAATGAGAGCGTTTGACTGGTTGAACCATATATCATCTCCACAGATCGATGTGATCCTCTAGGTTTTCCAAGTTTGGACGAAGCAGGTGTAGTAAAGGGATACTGAGCGGCAATCGCCCACCATATCAGCTGCAAGTTTCCAGTTATTTGGTTTGATATCACTGACATCAACAACGACATTAGCTCAAATCAAAGTCAATTTCCTGGATTTGACATTAGGTAATGAATCCGTCCCATTCGGTCTCGTGCGTACAGACTGTCAAATTACTTTTGTTCCAGTGCGTTCCAAAACTGGTGATGGCTAGTGGATATGGTGACACAGTCACGTTTTGCGTTTACCACAAAGACAGAAACACCAAGATTCAACTTTCGACAATTAGAAAGGCATTTTAACAAACACGTATGCGTAACTGTGAAACGCCAGTCCAACATATTCTGGATGATCTTGGAGTCTAGTTACACCGCGTGATTGCTGTTTCTTTCCATGCTTATAACCCTTAGCGGTATCTCTGCTAGTATAGCCCTCCCGATAGGCTACCCATGAAGAGTGGCCCCTGGTTGTCTGAATTTATTATAAGATGTCCTCAAACAAATGATAAAATGGTGGATCGAATGGTAAACAAAACACGATCTACACGGTGCCCTTTATGCCTGGGACAGAAACGACAGTCTTTAATGCTACGAAAAGCTATACAAAAATGGGAAATATTCATATACTACCTGGAGAAAACCAGTAGATCGGCAGTGAGCTCTGAGTTTATTCTTTGGAAAGAGCATCAAAAATCGGCAAGAAAAATGGTAGCATAACGATAAATTGGAGAGAAAATTTCGCATCCATGGTGGAAATGGTGCTGTGAGGAAAAGCTTCTGAGAGGCGACTATCGGTATGTGTTCGCGCGCATTAAACAGTTGAGTAGGTTTCCAAATATTCTGGAAACCTGACCGTACCTTCGTTCTATGGGCGATCGATATGGTCCTATATTACCAAACACATCATCAAGTATTTCGATGGCTGTGGTGTCTGTTGGTAAATTGTTGTGGACGGAAACATCGCTGACATTCATGTTGCTTTCGGAGTGCGCTGGTTTCAAACGGTCGATACCAATTGTACCTTCACATCCACTCTGCTCGACTACACCTTATGAACTTGGGTTGCCCACCACAAAGTAGTTCAAGCAGTTAACGCAAGGCATTGTGTTTGCCCTGAAAGTATAGCTTTCAGCTTTCAGTGGGTGTTACGCACTGCATTTGCTTGAGGATGGCAAGCTAGCGTCCGAAACTAGTTGCGACCTGGGAGTGACCAGCGAAATCGTTGTGCAAGACTCCTGACGGTTTCTCACAATCATAGCCTAGGTAGTTTGTGCAATGTACTGAGACCGCATCCACATCTCCGAAATATAAGGTGTGGCTGCCTGATGTATATGTCGCGTAAAACTGAATATGTATCTGATCCTACTAGACACCACTGCAACTTCAGAGTTGCGGATGACAAGCCACGGTTCAGCTCAGAGTCGCCGTATTGAGGTTGAGCCAATTCAACAAGGCCAACACTTTTGATACGGTTTGTTGCAGATATTCGGGACAGGGTTGTTTGCTTAAGATATGTGGAAGGAATTAGTTCTCCTTTCCGTCGGGCTATGGTGCTCATACGTTATACTAAACAATGTTCTATTTTGTCTGTGTTTATCCGGCACGTTCGGCTGAAAATAGGCTAAGCTACTTGGCAAACAACCAAAGTGCTGCATTTAGACAATCAGAAGGTCATTTTTCTCCGTAACAACGGGCTACGTTTGATGGGACGCCGTACGCTTAGCATTATCCTCCTCATTATTAGCGTTGCAGCAGCTGACATTCGGGGAACTGCCTTCAATCCAGCTATGCCTGTTATTTTGGAGCCTTTGGTCGCTTCTCTGCTTTGCTTGGCTTATTACTTTCAGTGTTTTGAAGGACAGGTTAGCTAACCTCAGTAATACTTAGCTGCAAATGTATACACAAATAAGATCGAGTTTGTGTAGTATCAGTAGTGTTATTTCACTGTTTTTCTGTCGAATTTAAAATGAAATCATCATTACCCTCTCCACTCCACCCATCGCCGTGTTTCTGTTCAAGATAACAAGTTCCACCTGATTTCCTAAAGAGATTTTAACACCCGATAATTCCCCAAAATCAACAATACGGTGATCGACGAGATTCGTTGCAGATGCTGATCTTCATGGTTTTAACGGACTCGGTAGGCTGAAGATGCATTGTCTAGCATACTGATCATTTCGTACGTAGCATTGTTGTGTTTTTTTGATGGTAAGCGACTGTCTAACCATTCATTGGAAACGCGTCATATTTTGGCGCAGTCGATTAAATACTCTATTCTGAGTGGCCGCTTCACTGTCCTACACTCACCTAGCACTTGCGGGTACAAAACAATTACGAATAATTGGCGATCGGCCTGTGGGTCTGTCAGTTTCGCGTGGGGCCCATTCTTGAGGGCTGATTCATTTCTTTCCAGTTCTAACTGTTGTTTATCCTTATTAAGCTAAGGAATTGCCCACTGATTTTAACAGCCTTATGATTATTAGCCAGCGCCCACAAGCAGTGCTAGCCAGACATGAGCAGATACTGTTGCTCCTGTGAAAACAGTTAAGGTCTATAAGAGGCCAGGCCCATATATCCTTAAATATTCCGCAATAAACTTAGGAAATTATCATCACAATACTACTCGTCGAAAGACTTCCTGTCACTGCACCTAATTCATGTGGCTTATGAATCTATCAAGACACTACGTGCGAAACGCGCCGCAAAAGAAAAGATCGTCGCTCTGAAAGGTGGCTCTGGAATACACCAGTTGACATCTCTTCTGAGTAAACGTCTGCAGCCATCAGGGGATGTAGCCTATCTACTACACAACTGAATGGTACACAATGATCCCCTCAAGATTAGTGAACTGTTTAGCGAATCATTCGCTAATTTCAACACCACTAGTTTTACTCAAAGTACCACTAGTCCATATACTAGAGCGGAGTTCACCGTCAGAAGTATCACCGAGGCTACCAAAAGCCTGGGACTACCAACAGATACGGATATAGATGGCCTAAACTCAATAGTCATCAGAAACAGTGGTGATGATATGCCACTGTTCTTCCTTAAGACATTCACACTGTCAATAGAAAGTGGGGAGTATCCCAGCAAGTGAGAAACTAGCTTTATAGTTCCTCGCTACAAGTCCGGTGACAAAACGAATGCTGGTAACTATCAGCCTAATGCCAGTCGTCTCCCGAATCATTGAAAAAGTTATTAAGAGCAGCATATCTGACTACCTACTTAAAGAAAACCTCATCAACAAGCCTTAGCACGGTTTCATTAAAAACGGGTCTTGCATTACTTGCCATTTCGACTTCTCCAACCTTATCACTAGTAGCCGCGAGGCGCGTAAAATCGTCACTGTTCTATACTTTGGCACATCAAGGGCATTTGACAAGGTGCCACATAGTATTCTCTTTGATAAGCTACAGTCGATTGGCATTCATGACCCTTTACTTCATTGCCTGAAACCATTTCTTAGTGATCGTAGTCAAATCGTCAAAGTGGACTTTATGCGGTTTAAATCTAGGCTCATAACTAGTGTAGTGATACAGGGTAATGTCCTTGGACCTTCGCTGTTCATAACTCATATTAATAGTGTGTGCAACTGCCTCTTTATGGGGGGAACATTCCCATACGCTGATTACCTTGAGGTTGTATACTCATGTCACACCCATGAACTAGGCAGTACGCTACCTAGTGCCCAACACGAATTAGATGAAGTCGCTAAATGCTGTGACGAGTCCCATCTCCAGTTCAACATTCATAAATGTGGTTGGCTTAGCATAGGCAGTGATAACCTAGATATGTCTGTCGAGGTAAGTGGGCAAAAGCCACCCAGACGTTCTTCAGTGCTAGATCTTGGTCTTGGATATTCCAGTGACTTAACATTCTCTGAGCAGATGGCTTGTATCACATCTAAGTCACGTAGACTCCTTGGATTCATCGTCCATAACTTTTATAGCACTGAACCGATGGTCCTACTCTACAAAGCGAGCACCGGTCCCATTTTAGAGTACTGTCCGTTTATCTTAAATGGCCTTCATACAAGCGACGAAGGAAAAATTGAAGGAGTACAACGTCACATTACACTGAGAACACTAGAAGCTGACTGCGGTCAAGACCACATCTCGAGATGCAACATGCTGGGACTGGAACCTTTCTGGAAGGGGCGACTTAGAATGAACCCTATACTTTACTATAAATTACTTCATGAGCAAGTGCGCTCATGTAGCCCAGAAGTTAAAATGGTTGTAACATCTACTCACCATTTACGTAGCCACAATCTATTGGCTGAA